CAGGACCGGGTACATAAAGACGTGCCATTAAGGGAAAGGCTCAATGCAATGAATGGCCAACCCCGCCATCAGAACCCTGACTCATCTGGGCTCCAGGAGCCTATGGGGTCAAAGTCCACCAAGACTCAGCCTGGGGGCTCCTGCCTCCCCTAAAGAGGGCCATCCTCCCTAAATCTCATGTCTTCCGGGCTGCCATGCTTCCTCCAGGAAGCCTTCCCTGACTGCTCTCTACACAACAGCCATGTTTCTGAACTCCTAGTTCCTGGAACCTCTACCAGGCCTGATGTCTCCACGAGATAGCTAGCTCCTTCACAGCAAGTAGTTAGGCCTGCCACCTCCTCCGTGAATGCTAAGTGCTTACTGCTATGGATGATGGTTAATTCGACCATCTATTCATCCATCCACCCACTCACCCACCTTCCATCTACCCATCTACCCACCCACCCACCTTCTTTTGCAGCTCAGTGCCAGGCCCCTCATACAGCAGGAATGACACCTGTCAAAGTCCTTAGGGTCCTGTCTAAAAAAGAGATGCCTGCTGGAGCTTTGCTAGTTCCTAAATTGTCTGGGCTGTAGGAACAGCCCAGAGAGGACCTACCATAGATTCATCCCTCTACGAAGCTGTAGGCAATGCCCCAATGAATGCTGGGATATATGTCCCCACTTCCGATGCGTTTGTGGCCTGCACTCTGATCTCATTGCCTGGGGTCCTGACTGCGTCCCTGGAAAGGGGTCAGGAGCACCTGTAGTTTTTAGACGATGACTCTGGGACTCAGAGAAGACAGAGGACCTCCTTTCGTTCCCCCAGCATGCTAGTACTGGGCCGGGGCTCAGGGAGTCCCCTGTGGCTAGTGGCAAGGGTCTGGTACCCGGCAGTCACTCCAAACTTGTCTTTGCTGCTGATGCCTCATGTCTCTGACTCCAGACCCCTTTTTTTAAGAACTTGGGGTGGTTTTTGCCCCTCCTGCTGCGTGAACCCCAGGCGCATTCATCAGGAACAATGGCTGGAAAATTAGCCCGTGGGAAATTGTGATCATAAGGCCTTTTAACCTGTGGGACAGCTCTCCTGCTAATTCCCCCACCACCACCACCCTTCAAGCCAATTTGGCCAAACGTCCTCAAAGTTTCATCAGGAATAACGAACCTCTTCCTCCATTATTAAGTTTTATTGTAAGAGTTGTTCTTGGTTGTTGCATAAAGTCTGAAGGGAAGACCCTATTGAAAGCTTATAAAGAAGGAGTAGGAGGAGATAAATGCTCCCGACTTCCTACCGGATGGATTTTAAAGGCAGCTGTCCTGGACCTGGGCTATCATAGCAATTGTGTGTCTTTGCCGCTATGCAGGCAACTCCCCCCACACACACACACGAACACACACGCAGACTGACAAGGGCACATACACACAGTGAGATGACACAGGATGCCCGGCTCCTAGCACAGAGCTCACTTGGCGTCTGGGCCTGGTGACCGGGCTTAACCCCTACGAGAGAGGGCTCCCTGGGAAGTGGCCGTGCTCCGCCTGCACCCGGCACCCCGGCGGTTCTCAGCAAGCCCCAACAGGATGCCAGGCGGGCAGGCGGACGGCAGGAAGAGACTCCGCTCAGAATCTCTCCCCGCTATAATTTACTAAATCCATCAGGGGCTCCTTTGAGCCACTTTCTGGAAATGCCACATTTCAAGGGTCTCCCTGTTAGAAAAGGTCAGGGAGTTCACACAGGCCTTTCATGTTAAAGGAACTTGAAAGAGAAGGAAAGGAAATGTATATTTTCAGCTTTAGCTGTGATTAAGTGGGCTTAGGCTATGAGAACATTCAGATGACTTACATGACGTTACATGAAGAGCCAATTAGCCTAACAACTTCCGAAAAATATCTAGCTCAACAGCACCCATTATTAGAGCACTTGGAATGTGCCAGGCCTTGTGCTGGGCTCTTAGCTAGGATACAATGACTCGTTTCAACCTCCATCCAGAAGTGCCAGGCAGGTTTGGGTTTGATACCCATTTCAACCCGAGGTCCAGAAAGGGCCCGGGACTTGCCTGGACTCTCACAGCTTGGAATGGGAGGGGATTCAGGTCTGCCTACCTCCACAGTCAGCTCCATACCTCAGACCCCTCAGCCCTCAAAGGCCCTACCTTCCTTCTGTATTCAGCAGCTGAGAACCGCTCACCTTCACCTGGTCCATGTGCA